ACCCCCCCCCCCCGGCTACGGGCATGAGTGACATGCCCATCCAGTCACGGACATCGTCGCCCCACCTCCGGCGTGGTCTTCCGCGGCTCCTCTTTCCATTGGTCGTCCCTTGTAGTATGTGGGTGGTTCCCCGTTCAAGTGACATGACCAAAGTACTAGTACTGGAGTTTCCGCCCTTTTATGGTGTTTAGTAGTGTATAGCGCGGTCAAATTCGTCACAGGCCTTCGTGCGATTTTTATGTCGCATGGTTTTCAGGCCTTTCACAGTGACAGAACTAGATCGAACCGGCCTAAGGATCCAAGGCAGCAAGACAGTTGGAAGTGTACTACTATCTGAAAAAATACCCCCAGATTGCGATACAATAAATGCTTCATCGCTATAATCACTGACGCTACTTCATGCCAATAGGTGGCGCTGTGCTGACAAAATGCAGTCCCAAACGTGACAAATCCTTAACCAATCCCCCCTCCCTCGTACTGTTTCATGAAAATTGTAGGCTTATTCATGACTTTTTGTAGGTTGATTCAAATGCATCTGTTCCATATAAAACTCACTGTCAAAGTGGCAAATGCTTTAAAATTAACTTTAATCTGCAGAACATTAAGAAATGTTTCCTAACAAATAAGATACAATGTATTAAACATTTCTTTCACTTTTTTCAGGTTTACATTTTTGTTCTGGTGCTGTCGGTTATGACGTTTGTCCACCCCACCTACATCGACTACCACTGCAGGGACGTGTCCAACAAAGATGGCCGCCGTCCTTTCCAAGGTGACCTTGAGAAACCCGTCAAAGGACATCTTGAAGTCGACGCTTGTTGTTCCAAAGAGACATGTGTCTAAGTTCCACGTAGTCTACACATACTCGGAAAATCTGTATCTGTGCATGAATCGGTATCTGTACATGAATATGTATCTGTACCTAAATCTGCATATGGTTGAAAGTAAAGATTTCGAGTGATTGCCATACAGCCTACACACGAACACCTGTCCGATTCACGCTATTGAAATGTTTGTTAATAAGTTAATACTTGTTAACCGAGGAGAACTAGTATTCAAAATAGAAAATGTTGTTTAGAAATACTTCACTCATAAGTACACCATGAGTGAAGAAAACAGTCAAATGATGAAAATTTTTTTAATTTTTATATGAAGGTGATAATTATGTGTGTTTGCGACGCTCTTACATGGTTGTCTTTTTAGCAAAATACTAAATAGTCATGATAAGACGAAATGTATGATGCATGTTTAATACTGTTCAGAGAAAAATACGTATATAAGTTTTGGCAACGTATACGTATGGGTTTTCACTCATTTTAGCACATTTGTTCACAGTACTCTTAGCAGACTTGTTAATTATTCAAGCTATTAAGATATTCCATTGGTCAAGAGAAGAAGAAAGCGTTTATATATTATATTAGACGTAGAGGGTGTCGCTTTTATTTTGGAAATTGAGGATTTATGTCTCATAAGTGCACCATGATTGAAGAAAACTGGAATAATCAATGTTTTATATGTAATTATTGTAATATGGGTAGCAACATGTATATGGTTCAGAGACGCTCTTGCAACGGTTGTTTTTAGCAAAATGTTAATTGGGTATATGATAATACAAATGTATTCTGTACATGCTGACTTTTCATTGTTATACGAGTATACGAGTGTTCATTGTTAAATACATATACTGGTTGGAGTCTGATTTTAGCAATCTTGTTTTGTTCACTATTATCTTTATGGTGTGTTATTCAGTGCAGCCATGTGTTTTATTTATTTGGTTCCTAGAAGGGACCGCAAGGTTCTCATTCTGTTTATAGAATGATAATTTTGTCTTTGTATGCCAAAAATGGGACATCCACCTTCCATTGCGATAACATTTCAAGTACGTGTATTAGTAGTTTTTATTTCACCCGTGCTCCCATTGCAGCCGTTTTTGAAACATATTTTTGATACCGGCTCTTAATATTAGAAATATTTATTACATGTTTATCTTTAACCATCAGTTGAAACACGTTGCCAGGTTACTCGTTAAAACCTCGGAAAATGCCCCCCCCCCCGTTATTTTGTGTCATGCGAGGAAGGAATTTTGTTGTTTTATTGAAAACGCGTTAAGTCTACATTCTTTTGCGTTGGACGCCAAATTTTGATAACTTAGGCGTCTGTCTTTCATGGTATTATTTTCTATCCATCATCTTGTGTCGTCAACGTATGTACAATGGCAAAATGGGAAAACTATTTGTAATGATTTATGATATCATACTGTGTAAATATGATACTGTGTAAATATGTAAATATGACTGTATAGAAAGAAAAATGCCAGGAAAACGAGATATATTTTTGGCTGATCAAACAAACATCCCATGTCGTCATCAGGTCACAAGAAAGATGGCAGGGCCCCTGAGAACCACCATCACCATCATCATCATCATGGCGGCGATAGTAGCGCTCCCTGTCGTCCTATCCCAGCCCTGCACCGAGAGTGTCTGTAACTTTAACTTCGTCATCAGGCGAACCAAGACCATGACTCACTCACGGGACGTCAACGGGAGAAGGGACACAAACTCCGTAAGTGACATTCTCTTTTCAAAAGCTTGTTTGCACTCACGTGACTATGACGTCATTTAACGCCCGCCATGTTGAGGGACTAATCATTGACGTATGTGTTTTGACAAAATGTAGGTCACCAGGGTGTTCTTTACTTAGAATTATTCAAGTACATTGAAATGTCCATTCGCCATCTTCAAGCGATATTGTGTAAGATTTTTGCGCTAAAATTGTAAATATAAATAATTGAAATTTTATCATGTATATTGTCATTTTCGATAACTTTCAACATATTAGCGTCGCTATTGCGCTTTTCGGACGACTCAGTGCAGCGCGAGAATAAGTTGCGCCATGCCAGGCCCGCTGTATTTTTAGGAGGCTCCTAAAAAGAACGTAAACAAACAACATGGCCGCAAGGACTTGGCAGTTTTCCAACACGTTCGCAACGACGTTGACCTTTTACTCCCAAATGTCATCATGAACCCAGGTAGGCTTATAGCGCAAAAATGTGTAAAACAACGATGTTTCAAATAGTGAAAATCTTACATAATATCGCTTCAAACTGAGAAAAATCTAGAGAGAGAGAGAGAAAGAATAAGCTTGTGTAAAAACGGGGTATCTCTTGTTTCATCGATGTGTACAGGTAAAACTTCGTGACGACGGACGCCTTGAGCTTTTTAGTCCGATGGGAAACCCCGCCCACCCTGGGAAGGAGAACGTGAACGGTACTCTCGTGCCCGTGGAGGAGGTCATTACCACTGACGGAGTGGTAAGAAACGTCATCACGGTCAACGACATGTTCCCGGGACCTACCATTGAAGTCGTGGAGGGGGCACAGGTCAGAGATACTGTTGGAATTTTGCTCAATCTTCAGACGTTCGTAGTGTAATTATGTTTACCGAAGGAAAGCATGTTGTTTTTGCTCTGTTTCCTCTTCCGTTCCAACACAAAAGATCAATGACCAGAACCAGGCGTCTGTTACCATGGTAACTGGTGTTGGGTTTGATCATGTTGCAAGTTTATGGCAGAAGGGATTTTGACTCCTGTCACCATATACATATGAATGCGTTTGAGTAAGAATTAACATAGTAGACCATATGCGAAGATAAACATATGCATTTGCATTAATATTGCAAATGTTACCTTTCTATTTGAACATACTAGTATGATTTTGTGCAAAAAATTAGGAAATTTTAGAAATTATTTTCTTCTTGGTACCCCGCATTTTCTGACTTGGTGCGTATTAGAGCGTAACAAATCTAATGGTATTTTTCACGTTGATGTCAACCCAGGTCGTCGTTAAAGTAACGAACAAACTGTTGAGCGAGGCCACAAGCATCCACTGGCACGGTCTGCACATGCGCGGCACGCCATACATGGATGGCGTGGCCTACGTCACCCAGTGTCCCATCATGCCCCGCGAGAGTTTCGTCTACCGCTTCCGCGCAGAGCCTGCTGGGACACATTTTTACCACTCCCACATCAGTACCCAGAGGGAAGACGGACTGTTCGGGGCTTTGATCGTGCACAAGGCAAAGTGAGTTAAACTTCCTATGGTCCTTCGTACAGAAAGCTTAACGCATTGTTCCTATGGGCCTTCGTACTTACGAAAGACCAGAAGTACAATACGACAAGGCTTCACTGGGCTATTTCTCACTGTTCCACACTCATTTCTGTGGGTGAGAAATAAGTGTGGGCGGTGGGAAATGGGCGTGGAGAGGTGAGAAATAGCCCAGTGAAGCCTTGTCGTATTGTACTTCTGGTCACAAGTGAAAATGATCACAAGTTATCAACCAACAGGACTAAAAAGTTACTAGTAACTAGCAGCCATCTTAGTATGACTGCATACAGTCTTTACGAAAGACCATAGGT